GGAGAGGAGTAAAACGAGGAACACCTCCCGGCCATGGTGGGTGGCCCTCGAGACATTGAAGGAAATGGAAGACTGCTTGAAGAAGTTGGACAGTGGAGTAGCTCGCAAGCGACGCAATTGGGCCACCCAGCAAGAGGCTGAGGTCAACAAGATAGAATTGGCGAACCAACTGAAGAGGACCTGGCAGAACTTATTGAAGGATCATTTTGAATAGGCAATTAGGACACCCTCGTCAGCACCGCCATTGATGGCGAATCCCTTCGTTAGAACCGCAGGACAATTGATGTTCACATGGAGTCAGGTGGGAATAGAGTTGGAGACACTGACCTCGTATGACAGGTTGAAGTTGGGAAGCAAGAAACTAGAAGTGTACCAAGCACTGATGCAACACGTGGCCAGGGATAATTCAGGCTTGAGCCTGGCCAGGAGGAAAGATGCCACATGTTTCGTGAGATGGATAATGTCAATGATGTCTGATAGCACCATCTTGGCGTGTCACCAAAGAGCAAGCGGAAGTAAAACCGTGGAAAAGAGAGTCTCAACAGTCATCTTAAACGTATATCAGAGTACTGGAATAGAAAAGGAGGATGGCTCCAGACTATCCCTAGAGAGCCACAGAAAGCTGGACGAGGTACGGAGGTTTTACAACAAGAAATTCGAACAGGAACACGATGTTCACCGTAACCTGGCCTCGCCGGAGCAGTACTCGAGACTCAGTGAGAAAGGGGAATATCAATACGTGTCGGGAGTGGTGGGGATAGCCTACAACCCCTTCTTAGATTCAGAAGCTGGAGGCGCTCACAGGAACCACGAGGTAGTGGAGCTGCTGAAGTTTTGGACAGAGAAAATAGTGGAAATAGACGCGGTGGAGAGAGAGAGGCCGAGCCTGGGCCTGATTTTTGAGAAAACACCGGAGGTGGTGAGCATACCGCGCTCGAACAAGAGAGTTGAAGTGAACATGGGTAATGGCAATGGCTTGTTGATCACGAACTTGGGAGTGGTATGGAGGTTACTAAGGCCCTCCTGGTGCCCACATCCCCACGCGAGCCTGATCGAGGAGACCACTGAGCGGGTGAGATTAGCACCAACGGAGGATGAAGATCTAGCAAAGTTGAGTGTGGTGCACAAACTGATCTTACCTCAGGTGAAGGAGTCAGGCGAAAAGACGAACGATCTTGGGTCAGCAAAGAAGATGGAGCCGGGTAGCTGTCTGGATTCGACGTGTGGGAGTGGAGAGCACACCTGCGATGGACGATCATGTGTCAGGATACTGTCCTTTCAAAAAGAAGATCTGGTAACTTGGTTTGAGGACATCACGGAAAGGGAGAAAAGTGAAGTACAAATAGTGGCGGAGTGTTACGCGAGAACTACGGTGAATATAGCAACAGCTCTCGGATTCTTCTCGAGAATGTGTAGTCTGCAGTCACTGGAGAGGCTAGAGTCTGAACACCATTTAGTGACTGCGTTGAGCGTGGAATCATGGCCTGGGGTGTTGCAGGTGACTCAAAAGCATATCCGGAGCTGGAAGGTTGGTCTCGAGGCGGAAATGGGATTTCCCATGAGCGAAGCTTATGGCCTGCCATTGAACGCGAAATCCCTGATAGGGTCAGTGATGGCCAATTTGAGTGGAAGCCACTACCCACTGCACATGGCGATGGTGGAAGCATCCAGCCAGAGAGTATTAGTAGACAAGGCCTTCTCAGTGCCCAAGTGCGTGAGGTTGGCTCGGGTATCGCATCACTCGCACAAATTGTTGAGAAAAATCCGAGGGACAGTGCCAAAAGAATTGAGAGATGACTTGAGTGAAATCTGGGGGGAAGAGCTTTTGAAGTTGGAAAGTGAGAATACAAGCGATCACGAGAGACAAAACGTGATCGGAAAACCTGTGGGGGGTGCTCCAAACATGGAAGAGAACGACACGATGCATGAGAAAATGATGGAGCTTGAGTCTCTCTTGGAAGCCTCGGGGAGCGCAACCTCAGGAGCATTGAGATCACCCATGGAGAATGCCCATGCCACTGTCTGGCACAAACGGTGTGGTATCCAGATCACGCGAACCTCTGCCTGGTGTGGGATATGGAAGAAATTCGGTCGATAGTATTACCGGATCACCGGCAAAAGGTGACGCTCCTGGTAGTGAGTACGATGCTGGCTCTGAGATGGATAGAAGAGAATATAACGAAGTATCGGGAAGCGAAGACGCCAACGGCTGAGTCAATATACGCGATAGACTACAGCAGGAGACTCGAGTTGTTTGAGACTGCATGCAAGGTATTCGCCATACCAATGGAGCCGCTTGAGGTACTTTCCCTGGTTTCGAGCGACACTGATGTCTTGGTTATACATGACAACGAAAGATCACATGAGAAAATATCAAAAGGAGTATCGACAGTTCCAGGCCGAGATTGGGCCGGAAGCTTTCAAGAGACCCCTGTTAACCCATCGAAATGCGATCACGACAGGATCGAAGAGAGTGGGTAAAGTGTCTAGAGACAATACCAAAGCGAGGGAATCGATACTAGAGGAGGACTTGGCGAAGAACGTGAGCCTGAGCCTGCACAACTCCTTTTGTTTGAACCGGGAATCTAGGGTGAATGCACTACCCAACCAGGCAAAGAGGTTGCAGGAGCAAAGGGAATGGATGCGATCCTATGAACAACTGAAGGCTTGGGAGGAGATCGTGATTAGCTCCGAGGATGAAGAAGCACTGTTGAGACAGTTTGCGGTGTCTAGTACTTCTGGGTCCGGCACCTCCAAGGCGAAGGGTGCGAAATGAGCGGGTGGCTCAGAGAGAGTCTTGAGTCTTGAGAGGGAAGGGGGGCTTGAGCGTGAATTCGGATAAAATCTGGGTTCACGAAAAAGAAATTTTAACGAATCAGATATTGTTATTAATATGCTATATTTACTATATAAATCAAAATGCTGCATGACAATTCCCTGATTGAATGGGACAAAAGAAGTTTTAAATAATTGGCTTGAAAAGCAAAAATTCAAGGGTGCAGGTGTGTGCAGACTTTGATTGCTGTTTAGCGATAGTGTGAAAATTTTACATGGCTGTGAATTTTGGGGTGTAGATAAGCTTAAGTCTGCTGCAAACTTCTGTAAATGACCACTGGCACTGTACCTTGAGCAACACTCGGTTTTCTGGGACTCACTGGCAGACGACAGCACGCGATGAGGACAACGATCTTGAGTCCGGGGAGTATGTGCCAGTCGGTCATATTTGGAAGTTTGACCTTGAGAAACACAAGAGCACTTAATTTTGGAGTGAAATTTGATTTTTCAAAAATTCGAATGGAGCCTGTCATGCACGATTTTCTCGCGATAACTGAAAACCGAAAAAGTGAAATCAGAACGATCGAGTAACAATCGCGGGAAAAATGCCAGATAAAACAGTAGGAAATTGCTATTCGCAATTTCCGTCATAATAAACTAGAGTAGAGCTGTCCTATCTGAAATAGAAGACAGAGTATTCCCGAGAACTGGACTATTATTGTTCGACTGGACGATTATTCGAACTGGACTAGAGTGAACCTTCGATGGAAAGGTGGACAGCTTGAGTGTCCCAATGGTTCACAATAAAACTACATTCTAGAGTTCAAACTTACCTTTACCATTAAAACTGACAAACATTGAACTTATCTAGTTATCTTAGTTAATTCTAGAGTTGCTCTCCCATTTAATTACCCCTGTGCTTGAGTGCATCAGCATGTGAGTCCCTAATTTAAATTTCTAGAGTGTGTTTTGTGATTGTTATGTTGAGGTAAGGCGAGTTTTAGGTTGATCCATCTGAAATGGATCAAAGTTCCACTGTCTAATAAAAAGTAACTTAACGGATTGTTCCGACCCGGTTTTTAACGGCGTTCATGTATTTTGGGTATCTAGAGACCTAAGTATGGGGACGTTCTTATTTCTAGAGTGGGGGGGGGATATTTTGGTAGCAGCCTTTAAGCTGTAACGGGTCGTAGTCTCATGTCACAAGCGAACCGAATTGGCTCCGACTGATTTGAGGCAGAAAAACACAAGCGATAGTGTCCCTGACTCTTGAGCCAATGGTTATAGGGCCTATTTTTCTGTAGCCTCATGTGTGACTGCAGTAGACGAATGTTACAATGTTTGAAATTAAATTTAGCTTACTTTCAGCCAATCAGAATTGAGTATTCAAAATCTCAAAGTAAATTGCTAAAATCTCAAAGTAAGAAAATAAATTCAGGCCATTAGTGTTAATATTGACCGATTAGATAATAAGCAGATGAGTTTTCATGCCTGAAAAATTCTTAGAATTTTCACCTCACTAATCTTGATGATTATCTGAATAGTATTATTGCGGTTGTAACCCGCAATTTGTTAAATTTTTGAGTATTTTCCCCTAACTTATTACATTTTCTGTTAATATTGACTTCGATTTTGTGAGAAAGGCATTTAGCCAATAGGAACGCTAAGCGATTTTGATTGGTTGAAATTTTTCAAGCATTCGGTCCTTCAAGCATGAGAACCCTCCCCTTGTTTATTGATGTATTTATATAATGCTGGTATGGGCTCTATCCAGCTTGTGCACAACCAACCTAAAAGGAAGGACCCCTTCAATGATTTACTATTTCTTATGGTAGTATTTATCAGTTGAAGTGTTCATTTTTCCAAAACTGAACTTTTAAATGATTTTAATCATAAGTTCAAAAGTATCACAGCAGCTGAGGTTACAGTCAGGAGTCCCTTCATCACATATTCCAGTCAAAACCCTAGAATTTTCTAGATTTGAAAGATTAGAGTATAACGTGAATAGAAGTAAGGAGAATCAGATTGTTGGGAATCAAGCCAACCAGATTGAGAAAACTAACACTTGCACAGATTAAAATTGAATGGGAATCTGCTCCTGTAGAAAAGGTCCTGAATTCCTTAGTTTTGTAACATTTGATTCATTACTCAGCTTTCCACAAAGACATGCGAAGCGTTCCAATTTTTCACATTTAATCTATGTATGTCAACTGTACTTCAGAGCTGCCAAAATGTCTGCTGCTGATGAAGACACTGAGCTTCGTGATTTAGTCGCTCAAACATTACATCAGCAAGGAGTTCTATCAAAAATTAAAGCTCAGCTGCGATCTTCAATTTTTCTAGCACTCGATGAGCACGAGCAGGGAAAGCTTGACGTAAGAAAATTGAAAAGAGTTTCATTATTGATCTGAGATGCCTGGCACTATTTTACTCAATTTATAAAAGGCAAAATTGTTTTGTAAATTCAAATTACAAATTGCATTGAAAGGAATTTTTGTTGGATGGGGCTTTTAAAGCAACAAATTTTTTTAGAAATTTTATGAAATGGTCATTGGCATCAGCTATAACCGTAAAGCAACTTCTCTACCTCGAATATCTGCTGTATTTTGCTAAGTTGCTGTATGCCTTTTGGAGAGCCACACCATAGTTAATTGAAATTTCAATGATCACTGGCAATAGTCACAAGGATAGCCGGCTTTGTACAGTCTGAAGCCTATTCTACTACTACAATTTTTCCGACCACATAAAAAAACTGTAAAAAAAGGTTGTTTCGTTTTTGAATTAGTGTCGTTTTTGTGCGTGGTGTGATGAGTGAATTAGGCATTATCGACAATAGTTGTCTTCGAAAAACAAAAAGGAAAAAGTATTCATAATATTGTTTTGGTTATTTCGAAAAAATTCTGTTTGCCAAGAAAGCGCTAAGCTCCTGTTGTCAAATTAAGTTTTTCACTTCTTATTGTTCCGACCATTTTTCGAGTTTGTCTTCGGATGTGATTTACTTTTTTTGTTATGTATGTCTTTTTTGTTTTGAAATTTCCAAAAGTTTCTAAAAAATTTGTTTCTTCAAAGATAAGAAACTAAATTGTAATAAAAAACCTAAAGTGCGATAGGTCGTCGTCTAGCATAGACTAGATCTTAGAATATAGAAAACGCCAGAAACAAAATTAGTTTATGGTGCTGCATCTTTATTGGGGTTGCAAATCATTTTTGCCCCTGCGCCGTTCGTTCATCTGTCGCACTTTTTCCGAAATTCTTGAGATCCGATTGCTTAGCTTACATAAAGAAATACTTTTGTTTAGCAAATGAAGTCCCCTTTAGTCAACCAGAAACTAAAGTCTTTCCTCGAAACATCAGAAGGTGAGAGAAAGTTGATTAACAAGGCTATTGTGTAAAAAATGATATATATATTTTTTTTTTCAGGCATCGAGACAGTGAGCCTTGTGCGCGATTTTCTTCAATTCTTCGACCTTGACTATACATTAGCAGTGTTTGAGCCCGAACTTAACCATGTAGGTCTTTTAAAACAAATAAGGAAACGTCTGTGAAGTTGGCAACATATGCATATTCGATGTTAATGCACGTAAAGGGGTGAACATTGGGTCATAATCAGGGACGGAGTTAGAGGTCCTCCTCCACGTTTACCCAGCTCCCTAGCGTTAAATTCAACCATCATGTTCTCCAGTGTTTTACGGCGTGATGAATTTTTAAAATGTCCGCCTAAAATGAATATTGGTAAAATTTGAATCTAAAGACTTTAAAAAAGAGCAGCTGGTATTTGTAATTGTAAGTAATTATATTTCGAAATGAAAACGGTTTTTGAACTAAGCTTTTTTTTTCTTTTTTTTCGACTTGTACTATGAAACTGAAAATGCAGCGGACTTTAACTCTTTCGTTATACTCATTCAATATAGGCACTTTTTTTAAAATGATTATTTGTGTTGCCAGCTTCACAGATCTAAGTGGAATGATTTGATAAATTTCCACAAATAAACGTGTAGTTGTGATATTTTGATTGGTTCAGATCGACCAATCTCAGTTTCTTGGCTCAGAAGAGCTGCGTGACGTGTACAAGATCCCATCTTCAGAAGAAAACACTAGTTCGCCCTTGCTTCTACAGGCTTTGAGAAATGGACCAGTTGACCATGTGAAAAGCGACAGCTCCAACAAATCTATATCAAATTCCAGTAAACCATCTCAGGTTAATTCTTTGGTGGATTGTCTTTGAAAAAAAGTTTTTATATAACATGTATGTAAAACTGCCTTAATGGAGTTATAAGAATATAACATCTGAAGAATAGAATAGAAGTTTTTCGATCATAAGGAATAACCTCAAGTGATTAATTAAAAATAATTGAAAGAAGAAATTGAAAAGATACAATTCTTACTTCATGTATTGTTAATTATTGACTAATAATTATTTTAAGATCGAAAAGTTTGTTCTAGTTTTTGTTGCTGTTTTTACAATTTCATTTAAGTAGTTTTATATACATGGTACATAATTTTTTGTGCAATAGAACATATGTGAATTTGAAGATAATATACTTGATTATTTCATACAAAAACGAGCTTTGGGCGACTCAGAAGGCTTATTGAGGGCGGTTTGATGTAATTAATTATGTCGACATAACAGAGATAGATTTAATTGAACAGTGACTTTGATAAGCAGTGCTAACAATTTTTATTTCAGAAACCCGATCCTCCAAACAAGGCTCCGGCCGCGTCCATGCCAGACTCTGTTTTGGACTTTGAGGAATCGCTGGACCGAAAGGGCGGACTAATGGGGTCGTTCTCTTAGTGAGTATCAACAGCTAGATTCCTTACTTTATGAGCACAAGAAAAAGATTCAATGTGACCTTCGCCTGTGTCAACTAAAGTTCCAGGAATTAGAAGTTTCCAGGAATTAGAATAATCTTTTCATTTTCAGCGAAGAATCACCTCGCTCTCCTAGGAAACCTCTGTCGAACCTGAACAACTTCGGAGACTCACTGCAAGTGGGTGGAGCTACAGTGAGTAACGAGGCCACCAGATCCCAAGTATTCGACGAAGAAAAAAACAATCTAGATTTGAATCTGGGCGCGAGTAATGTGAGTGATCTGTATGAGGATGATTTTGCATCATCTGCCAATAGTGTGAATCTACCGAAGAGTGGGAGGAGTGCGAAGGGTGTTGGTGGTGTGGGGGGATCGATGGGGGGAGGGGTGACTGAGAAGTCGGAGATCTCGGAGGAGTTGGACGAGGAGGAAGATGAAGTGGAGGAGGAACTGTCGGAACCAATTGAAGAGGAAGATGACGACAGAAATGATAGAGACAAGAACACAAATAACCCAAAAGTACGTTGCAGTGATAATAAGTGCTTAATAGGAAGGTGAGTTTTCACTTGTAAATTACAGCACACGAGTGATTTGAACCGTCAATCATAAGATTCCCGGGCGCCATCACTACCGATGCACCACAACGCCACATTATAGTCATGAACGTAGTGAACATTCGTACATAGGTTTGGTGATGTTTGTTTTTTTTTTAAAGGAAAAAGTAGCGTTTCTTTTTTTCAATTTCTTTAAGTCGCATTCGACTTAATGAAAAAATCGCGTCAAATTTTTTTTGCGTTTTGATTTTTTATTCTTGCAATCAGCAAGGGTATTTCACTCGGCTACTAGGTTTTTCCCCGTGAAAAATTAATTTTGATTTTTAAAATTTTTTTTCGTCATTAAGCGTTTCTGCTCATGGCATTATGGTATCAGCTTGTATGTGAAGTGCAGGCTTGCCGGTTTCAATTAATAATCCAAAATCTAAAGATATTTATGTTATATTTTGTGTTCTAGACTAATGACGCGACAAGTGACCACTCGGTGTCCAGAATAAGCGACACAGAGGCAGACTTGGACTACGTAGAGGACGTCACTCAGGGGTGACATTACATAATAATTGCGTCATCATAGATGTAGTTGCTTCGGAGAAAAGACATTTAAATAGATGGAACCGTGAAATGTTTGCTGTATTTTGGTTGTAAATTAAGGTTTCTGACATTGCCAGAGAGGTTTTCAAATGATATCTGTGAAAATAACCACATTTGGATGCTCTTAATGTTTTCTATAATGCTCTTTAGTGAAATCGTGACAATCAGGTTTGCAGCAAATGTCAGAATTCTTAAATATTTTGAATTGAAGCTCAATGTTTGAAATTGTGGTTTGGTGAAATTGGGAAGAATATGCAACTCGCGCAAAAAATTGACTTTAGTCTTCGTCGTGGTTTCGAGAGAGTTTCATAAACAAATTGACTCCCGCTTAGTAATAGATGGTCGTTGTTAAACGAAGACAAAAAGCATCTAGAGCTCCATCCTGGCGCGTATCTAGGAATTTCTCGGAGGACGCGGATTTTCAAAAAAAAATAAAAAAATTTTAGGTCGAATAAATTGATTTTCTGAGCTCTCCCCAATCACAATAAATTTTTCTAAAAACAGGCCAAAAAAGCGTTTTAATGCATTTTTTGGAAATTTTCGACCAAAAAGTCGCGTGTTTTCGGCGCGTGCTCCCCTCTCAAAATTCGTTTATATTGGCACCATATCTCAAAAAAGTACAAAGGGGGCCCTTTGGTTCGGTAGGGGGTCGAATCGCTGAGAGGGGGGCGTCCGCCCCCGCTAAATCCGCTACTGCCTTGGCACCCTCTCCGCTCTAAGGCTCACCTTGGGTATTATTTGAAGAGATCCATTTTTGGTCGACCATACGTCAATATTTTCTAAAGGTGCTTTCGGTGTCTTTATATATACACTTATTTTGAGAGGGTCTTAAGGAAGGTTGAAATATGGCCGAGGAAAAATAGACAAAACAATTGAGGGTGAGGGGGCAGTTTGTCAGTTACTTTTTTAAACCAGGTTTACAGCTCTCTTGTCCTTTTGCGCGAGCTGTTTTCTGTTATCACTTGTATTACTAGTTAAATTGTGTCATCTTGACTGGTTTTAATGTATTAATGATCGAATTTGTAGAATCTGCAATGGAATCTAGTCTGCTATGCTATTCGTAGCTTGTTCCATAATTGTCAATATTTGTACATTTGTTGCTAGTTTAATAGTGATAGTTCAGTTTGTATTCAACCAAGTACATTTCAGAGAGAGTTTTGATCTTCATCGTGAAAGCAGTAGAAAGTTGAGTTGTTTCTGAAAGTTTAAGCAACAAAAAGACAAGTCACTTAGTTTTGGCTATAATTATCTAATGGAGCCAATTAAGAGTAATGAACGTAGTGAGTACTCCTATATAGGTTTTGATTCTTTTTTTCAAGAAAGAGTCTTAAAATTTGTTCACGCTCAATTTTGATTTTTCGCGGCTTGACTAGAAATTTTTCTAGAAATTCAAAGAGGTATCAAAGATCTATATTTTTCTTCGAAGGCTTTTTTTCAAAAGAAAACGAGTCAGTTTTTTTTTGGTTCTTTGCGTCCATTACTCTGTGCCAACTGTCAGTTGGCTATGTCTTAAGCGTTAGCAAAGTAGTCAATTATTTTTACTCATTTGAAGTTCAAATCTGAAAATTTAAAAAAAAAACGATTTTATATTAGATTTTTAAAATTGACACATGGGTTTCCTTGTTTTAGATTGATTATGTGATGTGAATAAAAAGAAAATGATCTCCAATTACATGCTAAAAACGTTTTCACTCCTTCCCATGAAGTTCTCGCAACTATCACCAATATTTTGTACCTGTTTGGCTCGCAATAATTCAACGGTTGCCCAATTCGGAAAACTTAACCGGAAAGTATATACCAGAAGGTATCCTTTAAGAATGGTAAATGCAGATGGCTCTTGCTTTGATATAATGTACAGTGCTCCACAGAGTATTTTTCATGTGCCCTTTGACACAAGTCACATGACTTTACAGCAGTTGCAAAAGTATAAATTGGAGAGGAAATCCAAGTCGTCGCGAAAACAAAAGACGAAGAAGAAAGAAAGCGTGAATGATGAAGCCATTGATTTTGATCACAGTAGTTTTAACAAATTTCTCTGAAAAATTTAAACGAGGTGTGAAATAAAAAATTTTCAATTGACTTTTTTCATTAAAATAATCTTCAGTTAAACTTTGGGCTATCTAGTTATATATTAAATTTGGGTGGATTTTTCTTCCCCAGATTTTTAAGGGAGGTGTGGCTAGAGCTTACAATATAATTCAAATTACGTTATTGGGTATGCTTAGAAGAATGTGCAGTTTTTTGACACTTCTAATGTAATTGGTCTAAGCGTGAACTAGGAAATCGTTACAAATGCCTTCAATATAGCCGTTGCTATGACTTCTTTTCTTACTATAAATTGCATTGACCTTTGTTCGAAAACAGCAGAAGATCTACTGAATTGAACTTCTTTGTGGTTTCCATTTTCGAAATTCCTTCACAATCGAACCACTTCTCTTTTGAGCTTAGTATTATTAAATCTACTGAAGCATATCATATTTCAGGTTTTTTGATCTGCTATTGTTGAATTGATTGTTTTCATCTGAGGTTTCCCTACTTGAAATTGGACTCTGCTGAATCGCAACTAAATCATAGGAAGCTGCGCTTCTCCTGCTGAGTAACCACGCTTCCCGATTCCATCAATTGTTCTCTAGAAGCTCAAATCTTACCCTGACCATCAGGAATTGGACTACTTAATTTTCTCAGTTTCTAGAAAATATTAGCTTTTCTCCTCTCTGCAGTATAAAACAGCAGTGCAGTGTCAATTAAATTGAAAAGATAATATACAAAAAACTAGCTCTGAAGATGACGTACAGTTTTGAACAGAGAGGATCTCTCTACTCGGACTCATTTAGACTCTACCTCACTAAAGATGGCCAGTATATCTCCCCCTTCCACGACATTCCACTCTATCCTGACGCGGGAGAGGGGGGACTGGTGTTGAATATGGTGGTGGAAGTGTTAAGGTACACTAATGCGAAGATGGAGATCAACAAGGAGCTGAAGCTGAATCCAATTAAACAGGATGTCAAGAAGGTACTTTTTCTGTTCAAAGCTATAGGCATCAAGTTTTAAAATAGATATCCTGATGATTGATTAATTTAGTATTGGACACTGCTCAAATAATTCGGGGTGTTGAATGATACCATACTGATGTTATGTTGACCATGTAATGCTTTTTAACAGTGTGATGTAGGTTTTCTACTTTTCGGGAAATTTGCGTCAAAAGGCTTGAGGTTAACGATAGTTAATTAGCAAAAAAACTTGTCAAAAAATATACTTGCGTTAATTTAATATTCTTTATAAGTTGTTGTTGTCAGGGCAAGATGCGCTTTATCGCAAACGTGTTTCCCAACAAGGGCTACCCCTGGAACTACGGGGCATTTCCGCAGACGTGGGAGGACCCTAAGAATGTGGACCAGCACACTGGCTTCAACGGGGACAATGACCCCCTGGACGTGTGTGAGATCAGTGACATCATCCCCCCTGCAGGCAGTGTCATTCAGGTCAAGGTGCTGGGCATACTTGCCATGATTGACGAGGGTGAGTGGAAGAAATTGTGGAAACAAAACGTTTTAAAGGCAATGATGTGGAAAGAAAACGGGTTAAAACGGTTTGAATCGAATTTTGCGCGCTCAGAGCTAACATTTTTTTCATCAAATGGCTGGAAAATAGATAATTTAAGATTCACCAAAAACATCAGAATGCATTTGAAATGTGAAAAATGGTGTATTTAAGTCTATTTGAACGTAGTGAAGACGGAAGACACTAGTAGTATAGTAAAAGTGGCTAGGAAAATGACCACTTTTAACCCCCCCTTTTTTTTGGTGTGCCGTTGTACTTACCACTTTAAACCCCCAAAGGGGTTAAAAACCCTACTTTTTCGGGCACGCATGTTTTAAGGGGGGTTAAAATTGGTAATTTTCCAGCCACTTTATGGAAACGGGAATGGAATTAAGTTTTGGTTGGTGCATGTTTTCCCTTCTAAAGTTTGGGGGTATTGGCTTGTTTACATGAATAATGACGTTATATACCTATTATAAGCAACCAAATTATATGGTATATAGGAAAGCACAAGATTTTGGCAGCGTAGCTTAACTGTTGGCTGCGGTGAACGATTTCCTTCAAAAATGCATCTTTTATTGCTGAATCTCGAAGAAAGGGAAATTCGTCAAGTGCGGCGGCCGCCACCTCTTTTTAGGCAAAAATTAATGATCAATTTGATCGAAATAAAAATGAAAAATTACTTTAAGCTAAATGAAGGTAAAAAACAAAGAAAAATTACGAAACAGTGAAAACTATAAAATAATGAAATCGGCTTGAAAATTTCGACATTTCCATTTTCCGTGTCTGCAGGAGACTGAAAAAACGTCTGAAATCTATGACAAAAACTTTGATTTTATAGAAAGGTTGAAAGAGCTAATAAGTTGAAGTGGCTATAGATCTAGAAAAACGAGAACACTGATGAACACTTAATTTTGCTGCAGCCATTTCTAAGACTTGCATATACCACTTTTTATAATAGAAAGGAAACAATTTCCCGGGCTTCTAGAAAACGTTTAGTACTTCTTTTCAACTTTATTGTGCTAACAGAATTTTTGAAAATATTCATCAAAGCGGATCTAGAAACTGGGGGAAAATTGTTATTTGTGTGCCAATATATACGACAGAACAGAGTGACCATCGAATAAAGCAGGTGAAAACTTATTTGCGACGTTTAAGGAAAGCAGTTATTCAAATTAGAGCAAATTCAATCGGGAAAGACTGAACACAAACTAAGATAAGTTATGGATACAAACTCAAAACTTGATATGAATTCGGAGTTATAATTTGAGCATCCAAATATTTTGATTTTTCCATTAAAAGAATATGCAATTAAATAACTTTTTAATTTGATACTACAATCTGGTCAAATGTTCTCAGTATCTTCTAATTAAGTTCAAGTTGGTTTAAGCTAGAGCTTTCTATACAAAAGTTTGAAGCGCTATCAGTTATGATCATGGATTAACCCCCTGCTCAACTAAACAAATTTTGAGTTTTTCTAGTATAAATCTGATCTTTTGAATATTTCCATGATTACGCTATTGCCTCTCAAAATACGGGGGCTTTTCGACCAAAACATTCGATTATTCGCCAACAACTAATTGTGTTATCAAGAGTTCAACCTTTCTTTCAATATATGTTTGAGGTGATCCAAGCTTTCACATTCACGTTCTGATCACTAGCAGGATCAAAACAGTTCGCATCATGATATTTCTTCTCATTTTTGCATCAATTTATGTCTTTTCTATTAACAAAACATGTCTTCGAAAAACGGTTAGTTGTTTGAAATTGTAAGATAAAAAATCAAGCCTCATCATCAACGCTCTACCTGAATCTTCAGATTCCGTCAGGATGATAGCTGTTTCACACTAAGCAATGCTTTCACACCAATTTGGCTACAGCAAGTTCCGAAATGTTGTAAGTGCCATTTTGTAGTTTCAATGCATTTCGATAAACGTCAATTATGTTGTGTTATCTTAAGCTGAAACGACTAACAAAGACATGTGTAATTTGCCAATAAAAAGTTTGTTAGACAGTTTCACTTTGAGTAATTAAAATTTTGAGCCTCAATGCAGAAAGACTTGCAATTTATTTCAAAGACAAAAGGCGTAAGCAATTTGAGCTATTTCATAAAACGCTCTATCGACTAAATAAATCTTGAATTTAAAAAAGTGGTACTAACTGTTTATCTGATTACACAATTGCTTCACTTCTGTGGGTTTATAAGTTTGATTCATTATTATGATTTATCAAATGAAAACCATTGAAAACTTGTGATTTTTAGAGATTGATCAATCATCCTTCAAATATACAGTACCTGTCATTTAAACTTTGCTCGCTTACCGTCTTCAGCTCTACCAGCCGCATGTCATTTTCTACCATTCTTCTATCGATCGTGTTCGTCTGCGCGGTCAATGATTTTCCTCAATAAATCATCATTTTTTTCTGATAATTTGGTTATCGTAATCTTTATCTCAATGAGCAACAGTTCATCAAACAGTCTGGACTCCATGCTGTCTCCAATTGGACTTGTTATTTGCCGCTTCCATCGACAATTTTTTGTAAAAGTGTTCACATAAATCATATACCCAATCATAAATCTCAATCGAACATGGGGAAATTTATGTGTTCATTTTAGATTAGCCGCTGAATACAAGATATGAATAGGAGCCCAAAACTATGCTGTGTTTTGTTACTTGTCCAAAACTGTTCAATTTGAAAAAGAGTCGATAAAATTATTATCCAAAATTAGAAAAGCATTTTGTTTATACAAAGCAAAGCATTTATCAGCTATTTCATTTCCAATTCTTGATAAGACTTGTTCTGCTTTTAGCGCAATAACAACGCCTCTGCAGGCACGTGCTTTCATCATTCGATTCATAATTTTAACCGTTTTAATTCAATGTTTGCTCTCCGTTACCGCAAAACTTTAAAAAACTGTATGTGTAAGTTTTGACTGATTCCGCTCAAGAACGTACTATTTTTGACAAGACTGCTCACAGAGATTTTCATTCCTCTTAGACAATAATTAAATTTAAATAATGATAATTGGAACACTAAACCACATATTTTCCATTTAGGTTTATCTTATTCCATTTATATCTTTTAAAAACATGGCTTAAAATGCCATCAGAAAAGTTAAATTTTTGATCATCGGAGTTTATATAATCGTTTCAGCGCAAATAGCCAAAGTTATGCTAATCAAAGATCTAGATTTACTCATCTTCTTATGAATGCATTCCTTTTTCGTAGAATCAAATTGGATCTTCCCAGGAAGTCGAGAGGCCCAAGTCGGCCTGGAAATGGAGCCACCAGCTTCACCTTGTTACTCTCATTGCAGAAATCAGTCTAACAGTGAGCCCTTGGTGCAGTCGGCAGACAACCGATTTTAGCCAAATGTAAACGCCAGTTGCTCGCAAAAAAACAAGAAAAAGGATCGGAACGCATCAACATTCTGTTATACGTGGCGTCAATTGAAAAGTTTGCAGTCTGTTTTGTGCTGCTTTTTCCAATTAGTTAAGTTGAATTTATTAATGTTTAGCTGTATGTTTTGTAATCTAAATTAAATAAATCAAAAAGAACAAAAAATTTTTTTTGCTCTTAATCCTTTAAATTTATAAAACATTTTTGTTTCATTTAGTATCATGTCTAAAAAACTGTCGTTCTAGAAAATTCAAATTCGCAAAAGAGGATTGGATTGTTTATTTTGCACAAATTTAAAAGTTTTTGAAAGTTTCTTTATTACTGAAAGAATGAGTTGAGCATCAGCTTAGAACAACTTTTGTTTTCTCTAAAAACATACATTTTTACCGTTAGTTTTATCAAACTTAACAGATTATTTTCTAAGATAATATAGCTTAAACGACCGATATTGCATAAATACGGGGGAAAAGATGAAAAAAAGAACCGTTGAACCTGTGTTAAATAGCTTTTTCAGAACTGAATGTTTTTTCGAACAACAAAACTTTGGTGGTTTAGCAAGAAAACAACATAATGTGCAACTCTAGTCAATGCAACTTGGTCTACGGTTAAATCTGCAGCCTAATAGTCAACTGAAAATATATCAAACTACAGAACCAACAAATGAATCAAAAAACAAAATTTTTTAAAAAAGATTACAAATCTTAAAAAAATGGCTAAAGCTTTTGTTTCGAACCAAAACTTTCACCGTCTTAAATTTTCTGTAGAAAACTAAATAATTACTTGAGAGCAATTTTCGATATATCAAAAAACTCTATTCGGACCGTCCAACAAAAAACTTTCAACAATTTGTTTAGAAATTTTCCCGTCCTTTGCAAGTTAGTTAGCCTTGGTTTTTTCTTCTGACCAGTAGAAATGCTTTTCATGACTCACTGGTCAATTTTGAGTAGAAGTTTGATACCGTTGGAAAGTTCGTTTGGGAGATCAACAGACATATTTAAAAATTGTTTTCACCATTTTTTATTTTTTTAAGATAAAAAAAATTGCTAAATTGTGTAGATGACTTGGCTGAATGCTGGCTTTTTTTTGCAAATCTCCGCTTGCGACGTTTGGATTGTAAAAATCAAATTGTGTATGTGGGTTTGACTGTATTTGAATATATTTATATGTAAAACGTACTGATGCTATTTCTGTGTGAATATTTGTATTTATCTATAAGCAAAAGCAGGTAAATATCTTTTGTGTATGCGTGTATGTATGCAAATTGATGTGTTTGTATGTATGAGTACAATTTTTTTCCTTATGCGCTTGTAAACCAAAACACTTGTAACTAGAAGAATAACTATAACCCAACTTGATTTTTACTAATGTTTCTAGTTTTTCTTGAAAGTTTGACAAGATACGATATGCATAGTATATTTGTACGCACATATGCTTTGCGTATGTGTGTGTTTATGTAAACTGTATGTAGCTATGTAAAAGTGTACAACTTTTTGCATGTATAAAGTTAATTTATCATGTATGTACATACTATTATGTGTATTCATTTGATTATTTAGAAGTTATTTAAATTTGTATGT